TCTTAAACATCGCATATAAGGTACTCTGATAAGTAATGTGTGAAGAGCTAAAACTAATTGTCACCCAACTAGTTAGACCTTGTCAGCGTGGCTTCAGATCTGCTGACTCATCAGATCTGATATTAACCAATATCAAAAAAATAGACCAGATATCGGATAGAGAATTTTAGAAAATAATAATTAAATACTCATCAAATTTTGTGGATTACAGGTTTATGTTTAACACTAATACTAGGAGCACTTTTAATGCATCTGTTCTGAATTTTGTACCCCGATAGAACTCCATAGAACGATTAATTGATATCACACTCCTTGTCATCTGATATATTCAACCTAATATTGCGGAAGATAACAGAACTGAATCGTACGCCAAAGTACTTATATTCCCAGCGCATACCTTAACATTGCAGTTTTTGACCTGAGTACTTAAGACGTCAGCCTGGGTTTTCAAACATAAAGAACCAAGACAAATCAATATATTTTCCAACAAAAAACTAATTTTCTAAGGGTTTTAATTTTATATATTGCTTTTAGAGTCCATTGTTAACAAACATCAATTCCTAATTATGAAAGACTTTTTTATTCAAAAACCAGAACAAACTCTAAAATTGTTGACAGCTTATTTATTCAACTAATACTAATACTATTTTAAGCTCAGTAGGGAATTATATCATAGAACCCTCTCTTAATAGACTAAAATCATGCTCCAGAAACTGCTTACCATAATTATAATGATCACGAGCGATAAGAAATCCCTAATGATAAATTTTATGAGCATTACCCCAATATTAATATTGATGAACATATTAAAATTTAAAAGCTTTGTTGAATTAATAATGTCGTTGATATTTACCAGAATTTCGAGTAGGGTAAATTAGATAAAAATCAAGTAAATTAGATATTAACATTTTGAAAATTTTATAAGATGTTTAATAAATAACTTAATATATTTGAAAACTTTTAACAAAGAAATAATAAATAAGTGCAATTAATGAATAAATAAAGATTTACATAGGTGCAGTGCAAAAAATCCCTAAGAAATTTCAATTTAATTTACCTCAATTTAATCGAACATGGTCTAAATATATATAATTAATATATTAAATCATTTAAATTAATTTTATATATCAATTACATATTTAATTTATAAAAACAAAGATTTTATTAAATACTTATTTCCTCAGTGCCTTTGTTTACAAATCAGCTGTTGCTTGTTTACATATGACATATATTTTAGATTTTCGTGATTTTGATAATGCGTTCATTTATATGAAAGCTATTTGTATAGTAAATCATCTTCATTAGTGGATATAATGAGCAAAATCGTCAAAATGAGACAGTGTAAATGTGGTGTTATTCGCTTGCATAATCGTACCTATGTAGTGTTTTGCCTTCACAGTTTCAAATTGTATTAACCATTTACAGTTAATTTTAGTTAAGTTTTTAAATAGAAATTAAAAATGAAAAATATATCTCCAGTAGTTGAAACTATATATAACCTGAAAAAAACTTTTAGAATGTGTACAGTATAAGATAACCTGAATATGTATATAATGTGAGAATTATTTCAATAATCATAGTTCTTGGAATAAATTTGATTCGTCTAAATTTAAGAACTAATAAAAAGTTATATGAAAAAGATATAAAGTTACAGAATGATATAAGAAAAGTTATACACAAACAATTGAAAGAATGTATTCTTTGGTTTTAAAAATCAATTAATGCTCGGTGAATATTTCACTCTATTGTGAACTTATTCATAAGTTATAATATTTTATGTACATAAAGTCGTTGTTATAGAAAACACTTTTAATACTACTTTGTTTAAAATATTTGAAAATTATAAATTTTTCAGAGGTTAACCTGTTATCAAGTTAAACTCTTTCTAAAAAGATATAGAACACATGATTTGTGTTTTGTAAATGTGTGAACTGTATTACCGACAGTATTATATGGTAGCCATAGATTATTGGGTTTTGGGGTTTTCGGTAGTTTGAAGTAAACTTAAAAATTTTTTAATAATATGAATAATTATTATATCAGTTTATAATAAGTATTTTAGGTTAGTAGTTAGTATAATATTTATCTCTTATAATTTTACCAATTATTAGCATATATTAAGGGTACTCCTCAAGCATATAAATATATCAAATATATAATTTTATGCGTTTACGTACATGATTATATGAATGCACTTAATGAAATATTTGTGTAAATTTATTAATCTGCTGTATAATTGCACTATTTATGTCAGCAATAATTATGACAGCACACAATGCAATATCGTTGCAATTTTAAATATTTATGCAAATTTTATTGATCACCTATATCGCTGGCAATAAATTTTAAAATAAAATACCCAAATTTAGCTAAAAGTCCAAACTAAAAAGTATTTACAAAGATACTTTAGTAAATGAGTTGCTTGTGTTGGAATGTAACTCTGTATTGACAAGAAATAAATTTATACGATATAAATTTATTCGGTAAATTTTTCATGTTAATTTATCAAATTTGTGTAAATTATTTTTTATACAAAACTTCATTTATCAAGTAGGTAAATTTATACGTTTATGAGGTTAAGGTATAAGGTATTTATCAGTTTAGACGAGAACCCCTAAAATTTAATAAAAAAAAAAATTTATTCAACATGTAATGCTTAATATATTTAATATTTAAAACTGCATGTTATAGCACATTCACTTTGTTCATTGTAGCCACTAATGAGGATGATTTACCATACAAAAGTCTTTCATATAAAAGAGCTCATTATCAATAAATTCTTAAACCCTTCTATATAAATTTCTTACAAGGAAAATGACAGAAATTTGAAATATGTGTCATATGTTTTATATGTAAAATGTAAAATGTAAACAAACAACAGCTGAGCTGTAAACAAAGGCACTGATATAAAAAAATAAAATAAAAGTATTTAATAAAATCTTTGTTTTTATTAATTAAAAATGTAATTGATGTATAAAATGCAGGTAAATGATATAACATATTAATTATATATTTAATTTTTTTGCGTGACATGTTATTAAGTGTAGTTTATAAAAGTTCTATCAGCTGCATAAGTAAGCTCATTATAATGTGAACATTCACTCATTAATGTAAATAAGCAAGTGCTTAAAAGAGACTTTCATAAATTATAAAATTAAAAATTTTTTTTTGTCTAAAATAATAAAAATATTATGCCTTTGAATTTTAACTGGACTTGTTGTTGTTGTTGTTTAAACAAAATCTTTTATTTGAATATTATGGCCGTGTGCGAGTTAGGCTAAGTTGATGCTAAACCAAATGGGAGATTTTTTGGGATTTTTTGCACTGCACACATTTAGCCATTTATCAACACGTATCGACACATCAATACATTATCGACACAACTTAGAATTTCCCTCATTTAGAACCCAACTTAGCCTAACTCGCACACGACCTATATATATTCTAATGTTGTAACATTTAACAGATTATCGATCTTAAATATAGCAAACATGTTATGTCCCTCTGTGTGCCGTCATGTCACGCAATCAAATCATGCCTCAAAGAAATGCGTTGCATTGCTTAATCTGGGTGGTATCAGTTAGGTCGTGTGCGAGTTAGGCTAAGTTGATGCTAAAGCAAATGGGACATTTTTTGGGATTTTTTGCACTGCACACATTTAGCCATTTATCAACACATATCGACACATCACTACATTACCGGCTGAACTTAGAATTTCCCTCATTTAGAACGCAACTTAGGACGTGTGCGAGTTAGGCTAAGTTGATGCTAAACCAAATGGGACTTTTCTTGGGATTTTTTACACTGCACACATTTAGCCATTTATCAACATGTATCGACACATCAATACATTATCGACACAACTTAGAATTTCCCTCATTTAGAACGCAACTTAGCCTAACTCGCACACGTCCTTAGCCTAACTCGCATACGACCTTAATATACGATTTCCCCTACATTTTAGTCGATATTTCCCCCTACATTTTAGTCGAAAACCAAAATTCAATTGATACTTTTTTATTCTTATTATATGAGATTTTATTTTGCCTGCATTTTTCTTTTTCTCCTATTTCTTAAAGTGATTTTATCCGTACGATTTCAAAATACAAAATAATTATTATAAATTTGATTTTGCTACATAAAAGTTGAATTTTATAATTATTTAAATAAATTTATGTATAAAATATACCTTTTTTAAATACTCAGTTAGTGTTATTTTCATTATTAAAGTAATTTTTAATTAAGTAATTATATTAATCATTACTCTATTTTATAAAATAACAACTATTAGCCAAATGAATTTAAAAGAATATCTTATTTAATTTTTATATAAAAAGATTTAATTTTGTATAATTGCATCTGTAGGTTTTAAATTTATTACACATTATATTAAAATAGTTTATTAAAAATTTATTGCTTTATTGATCAAAATTTATTTAAATAATACTTTTATTTTTAAATAAACCAACAGTTAAATAAATTTTTTTTTTGTTGTCTTACTATCCTGAAGATAACTATAGAATATAGTCAAAATATTGGTTCAAATAAAATTATTTAAAAAAACAAAAAATTTTTTTTAAAAACTGTATTATATAATTATTGACTAATTAGATCGTTTAAAAACAAAAGTTTTACTAAAATATTTTATTTAATTTCATCATTGTGAATATCGGATAAGAACTATTGAGAACAAATCCTTACATATGAAGAAAAATGTATTGTTTACACAGCTGATTTGTATAAACAAAGCCCCTTACAAAGTTTTCACAGTTCATGAAAATAAACATATTATTTGCTATATTTTTATATAATTATATTATCGATTATTTTTACATCCATTAAAGAAACGTGAATATTTTATTCAATTAAATACATTTAAAAAAACATAGATTTTACGTATGTGAGTTATTTGAACTGCTTTATCGGCAAAGCCCCCTTCCATTGGAATACGTTTTTCATATTTCCATTGTGTGTTTTTAAATTTGCTTCAATGTTGGTTGATTTGCCGAAGAAGTAGGACTGAAAAGTAGTACTGAATTCGCTTTACTTCGAATGTAGCAAATAGTCGGTGTAAAAGAGTTGTCGCGCGAGTGTGCACGGAGAATAACAAGATTAATATTTTTGGCTTGAAGTACACTAAAAAAAAATAATGTGTTAAGTTTTTGGCTTAACTTATTTTATGTTGTTTTAAAAATATATTGTAATATATTTTTGTGTTTTTTAATTTTGTGTTTTTACATATTAAACCCAATTTATAAAATAATTTAATATAAATAAAATTTTGTTTCCCAAAAATGTTTTTCAATAACACGGAAAGAAGAGTTACTTTTTTATTATAAAACAGTTGGTCGAAAAGCCGACAAAAGCAATAATAAAAACGTGTGGAAATAATTACTGAACAACATGCATTTGATGACAAATCAACGTTTTATACATTAATGTGCGCTTACATATTTTAAAAGAAATCATAATAAGAATATTAAAATAATAAAAATTAAAAAATGATATAAAAAAAATTCATTTCTTCTAAAAATTCATAGTTGCTGCCTCAGAAAAAAAATATAGTTAATAAATAGAAAGTTAAACAAGAATGTTGAGTGGAAAGAGAGAATTCAGAAAATATTCTTGCTACTAAACAATGCTGTGTGTGCCTGTGTGTGTGCGTGTGTGTATGTTTGCTGCATATCTTATCAAAAATGTGTTTATGTATATTTCACTTGAATTTGTATAAAATTCTTTTATTTAAATATAAAATGCAATATACATATATTATTAAAGATATTCTAAAATAATTATTTGCTATTTATTTTTATTTATAATTAAAAAGAATTTGCGAAGACTATTAGTTCGATTGACAGTCGCAACTCTGAAGAGCATTTGGCATTCCTTCTCCTCCATTGTAAATCCAATTAAAAATTTCTAACTTTACGTAAATATTAGAAAAAAAAAAAAGATAAAATACCAATTGTGCTGAAAACAGAAATAAAAAATAAAAAAATTTTTAATTGGATTAACACATTCAATTATAACAGTTTTGTTATTATTGTGCTTTTAAAATTCCATAGCAGTTCAGAAATATAGAAAACAAACGTAAGGTCGAAAAGAAAAATTAATTAAATATATAATATATATAAAAGAATTAAAAAAAAAAATACTGAGTTGATAACAACAATTTTAAAATTTTAAAATTGCTATCTTTCGTTGATTTCCCTACACATTTGTTGGCAATTATTCCGAACTCGGAGCAAAATAATCAATGAGGTAAGTCGAATTCTTCAAATTCTTGTGAATTTTTTTATGATGCATAAGGACATTTAAAATACATATAATAATTCCATAATATTATCCCGTTTAATTCTCCACCTCCACCCTATTCTTCATTTCATACCAACAAAGTTCTACATTTGAAAATTATGTACTATTTTGCTATATAGCATTTGGAGACTTCTCGTTTTACAGGTTTTTTTTAGAAAAAAAAAAAAAATAGATATATTACTAGCGAAATACTGGATTGGACCCTATAAATATCAACATTCGAATAAATTCGGATCCCATTAGGTTGAAATATTCATTTTAATTTTTTTTTATAGCGGTAAAATTGACTTACCGCTTAAAATGTTTGAATACAATAGTTAGAATTTAATTGATTTCCACACTAGTTTCAGTCTTACAGAGTGGCGAATTAAAGAAGATCTGAGGATAGCCTATTGTGATATTTAACTATTTATGTGCTACTAAAAGAGTTTGGAAATACTTTACAAAACTTTAAATCTTTAATTTCATTCTGTCGCCAAAAATCTTTGGGAATAATTGTCAAAATTTTAATGGTGTCAAAAAGCTACTCTAAATGTAGTAGAAGATGCATCTACTTATTATGATGAATATTAACCATCAAAAAGTTTTGGAAGGATTTGATGCTTTTAAAAGCAAATCTAATATAGAAATTTATGAGCTATATTTTTACTTGTAGATATTGTATTTTCTTTTAATATTAAAATCGAGTAATATTAACTAATAAATAATTATTTGAATAAGAAAAATGTCATAAGCTAACTTTAATTTTAAGAGTCATCATCCTTACCTTATCTTACCTTAACCTCATCTTAAGTACAAGTAATGTCCCATTGTGATACCATGGATGAAAGAGCCAATATCCGTATAGTACATCTGAAGGTGCAAGTCATGAGCATCTAGCGTACGAACAGCTGATATCATCTCTTTAAAAAGAAGCCACTCACCCATTCAAATAAAAGTCATACCTAGTTCAGACTATTTAAAGATAAAAAATAAATGCTTAAATATAATAAATATCAAAAATAGTGTTTTAATATTCGCAAAACAGTCGAGAAACGTTATATTAATTGTTTGTAAATTACACGTTTCTTATTCAATACTTCAAAAAAAGAATAAAACTTTCTTTTTCTTCGTTTTATATATGACAAATTGTATTCAGATTGGTGCTTTCTAATAACGATATATTGATTGCTAATTAATTAGCTGAAGTTTAGTATCTAAACAAACATACTTGATTTATTTCTTGACTTATCAAAGTAAGGCATATATAAAAGTTTATATTAATATGTTAAATTCTGTTCATTTTATCAGTGATTGGAATCATAAGAGAAATAGCCATAAAATTATGACTTTTTTTAGTCATAGAATAGTGATATCTATTATGCGCAATCCCTTACAACAAAAAGAAGTGTTATTTAGAACTTCAATTAAGTTATTTAGAATACAAATTTGTCGTAAACTGTTTTTTCAATCTATATATACAAATCACTTGATTGAAATTTTATACAATGTTGCTTATTCCGAAAATGTTCTAATATCTGCTTATAGGACTCGTGACAAACAAATATAGATGTAATATAATATATCGAAACGATTTTGTTATCAATAATATTAGTATTATTATTCCTTTGTTATTTATTTATTTTTGTTTATATATTTATTTTTTATTTATTATTATTTATATATTTATTTTTATTTATTGCAGTGTAATTACTAATGCCAAACAACCTTTTGTGACCTGCTATTTTCATTGCTAAAAAATGTGACAATTAGGATTAAATGGGCTTTGTCACCGTGGCAATGCTAGAAAATACGAAATTTTCGTAACCTTTTAGTGTGTAGTTTTAACATTGGTCCGGCAGATTATACATTATATTATTCCGGTATTAATAACATTCTCTTGTGGGTGTTAAACTGAGTTCAAAATAGACATTTAAGATTATTGTCTGTAATTACATAAAATTTCTATGCAAATAAATTTATAGTTCAATTAAAAATAAAAACAAAGAGACAAGTTTGCGTTAAGGTAAACACAAACACAGTCAAAGAAAGGCAGGGACTTGACTTCTTACCTTCACTGCATAAACTTAATATATCTTTTTCATGTTGGCGTGCGAGGGGTATAAAATATAACATATGTAATTTAAATTTAAGTTATAGAATTTCGAATATTTAATATCGTAATTTTGTTTTTTTTTTTTTTGATTTCTTTCATTGACAACAATTTTGGAAATCTTAAAAAACTAACATGTATGCTGTTGAGCTAGGGTATTCATATTTATCAATGATTTTCTTTTAAGGCAATTTAGTGTAGTTGCAGACAATAAGTGTCGACCATGAAGATTTGGATGCGACTTAAGTCTCTCTCGGAATTAAGGTGTATATTGGCGAATAACTTTTTCAACAGTTGGTAAATTTAGGTTTTTGTGTAGATTTTTGTTTTTGACATACCACGGAGTGCACGTAGCTTGTCGAAGAATTTTATTTTGTACTCTCTGCATTTTTTTCATATTTCTATTAAACGCTGAACACCACAGTTCTGAATCATACTTCCAAATTGGCTTTAATATTGATTTGTAAATTAACAATTTGTTATCGAGACTGAGTTTAGTATTGCGATTTAGAAGCCAGTACAATTCCCTATATTTAAGATTTAATTGGCATCTTTTGGTTTCAATATGACTTGTCCACATGAGCCTTCTATCTAGATATATGCCCAGATATTTCACAGAATGTGATTGCGCTATGTCTACATTATTGATTTCAACTGCAGAGTAAAAGTTACTTGAACGCATTTAGTTTTATTTACCTCGATTCTCCATTTAGCTAATCACTCTTCAAACAAACCGAATTGCCTATATCGTAATTTGGCAAAAAAAAAAATATGTATATTAATGGACATTAGTACAGGTTGATATAATCTGTGTTAAACGTGTTTGGAATTGTTAAATAAAACACAAAATAATCGTAAATTAATTAGGATATGTTATATGTATGTAGTCGTCTTCAAAGTAGGTTCCATTGATTATAATGCAAGTGTTCAATCCTTTATACATACTCGTATTTTGTAATCTGATTCACATAAATCCATCAATTTCTTTAATTTTAGCTTCGGAAACAGAAAACCCACGTTTATGTCAGCTGGATAAACTGCTAGGTTAAACATGTTGGTTAAGTTTTTTACGAAAAATTCTTATGGGAACCTTTTCTCAGGAAAAATGAATTTGTAAAATTCGCAGTTTGTAAAAACTGCAGTTCTTCTTCCACATAAATAACATTGGGATTAGGATTAATAGAGATTGATTAGATTTAAAAATTTTGATATTTGTTTCATATTTGAAATATAATATTTGAATTATAATCTGTGTGTGAAACATGAATATCAACAATTGTTTTTACAGTATAAAAAATTTAAATAAATTGATTGACGCTTGATATTAAAAAAATCGGAATCAATAAATTATTAGACCGTATATATGAAAACACATATAGCACTCAAACACGCCTTGATTGATGCTATTTATGAAAAAAAATAAAAATAAAACATATAAATAAAATAAAAATTTTAAATTAATTTATAAACTCTCTAATATTTTGTGACATTTAAAAAATTATTTTTAAACCTTTCCGTTATGGATTAACAGCAAATTTTTTGAATTTTTTGCTATTCAACAAAAAAAGAAAAACAACTAAAAGGTAAAAAACTAAAATTATTTAATATTCAAAAATTGAGAAATTAAATATTTGCATAATTCCGCAAGCTATAAAAAAATCACTGAAACCAGTTACCTCACGAAAATTTGATTGCTTTTAGAACAAAATTTTTTGGATTGCCTTTTGATTTTGCATTTTTCAGTTGACGTTGACTTTTCAAAAATGTGTCAAACCTTAAATACTAGAGGTTCATGTCAATCTTGCCGCCACTCCATACGTCACGTCATAATGAAATAAACTTTAGTTTTAGTTTATTTTATTCCGAATTTATGAATTTTTTCTCTTGCATTTTGATACTATTTTTCATTTTTACTATTATTTTATTTTATTTTTTTACGTTGTTTTTTATTTTGTTGAAAACTTGTTTTTTTGTCTCTCAAATATCTTTTCATGTTATACGATTCGCCTCTTCCGCAGTGTATGGCCTGGCCTGTACACTATCTTTGCTTTCGCTTATTTCAAGCGATGATTCATGCTCTCGCGAAGATTGCACAAACAATTTTTTTAATTGTTTTATTGAAATTTATTTTATAATTTAAAAAATTTGTTGTCAATACGTTTTGCTTTCAGTATCGGGGAACTCTATCTATTATGAAAAACGTATTGTAAAGACGTACATATATGCAGTTAAAAAAATAGTAAAAACATACCATAATCTTTTATTAAATCACTGATCCCGCTTATGACTTATTTATGTTTAGACTGAATTATGTTCGAAAAAACTATTTTTCGAACTTTGAATCGTTCGTAGTTTTTGGTTTCGAAGGCAAATAAGTAAAACAGACTTTCACAATTTATTACGGGTACATCCATATATGAAATAGTATATGTAAATTGACATTTGGTTTTATAATATGCAGAAACCCTTTTCCATTTTGTTAATCGCGTCTTCTGACTAATTAAGTTCTTCGAATCAATTTTTTTTTCACTTTCGATAATAAACGTTTGTAGTTGATTAAATGACGAACAAAGACAATTGTTTCTGTTATCGCTGAATATATAAATGTATCTGATATTTCCATAGATATGTTATTAATTAAAAATAATTTATTAATAATTATAAAGCACCCACCGCATTCAGTTAATAATATATAAAATAACAATAGACTATATTAATACATACATATGTATATATGAATATTCTGTATGTTATTTATAGATAAATAAATAAAAATATAATGTAAATGATAAAAAAACTATATATCAACCAAATTACTCAATAAAATTCCCACACCCTACATCCTCTGATTAAT